TTTTTTGAAAAAATCGACCTTCACCCCTTATGAATTTTCGGTCAAAAATCGCGATTTCACATGCGTGATTTTTGAGCTCAATGTATTGATTCCGAAGTAACAAACTTCCTAATATACACAAATACAGGTTTTGAAGCGATAATTAGGAAGACAACGGCAAGAAATCGTCCCAATTAGGTGAGGAAATTCCAAATTCGATTGCCGAAAAGGCAATTAAAATCAGAACTGAAAAGTTTCAGTTAACCATTTCGCAAAGGTGGAGGTAAAACAATAATGCGAAAGTCAGCAGGCCAATTCATCCATAATTCGGGACGTGGCTCGTTCTAGCCGTGCCAACAGCATCCTAAATTGTTCTACTGTTATCCAGGAAGTCCTGAAAGCGGTTTATCTTTAACTTATGTCGTTCCAGACAGATAAATATCGCTTTGACGCGCCATTTAACCAAAAAAAGCCGTTAAACGCGAGACGATCTATCCAAAGGTTAGCTTTTATGGTGCGCACATAATAGAGCAGATCGGATAGCTAGTTGATGTCAATGAGGGCAAAGTGGTGTTTTCAATTACAATGAGGAGAACAATCGGTCTTGGCCTAAACGGCCGATTTCGCAAACTCGCTGGGCGCTTCAAGAACGGCCGAACAGACCGTTAATCGGATGTAATTCCAGCTCTTTGCAGCATTTCCACTAATGTTTCCAAGTTATAACATTACTTAGCGGGCTCAACATCGAAATTGCGGAAACGTCGAGCACACTCGCCAAGAGAAAAATGGCCGTTTTCCTTCCGATTTCCATTCAGATTTCTTTCTTTCGCTTCGCCCATAAATTCTCTTAGGCACCGGTCACTTTTCCGGGGTGTTGGGGGATCGATCTGGGGAGGATCTTTCTTAATTCTGCAACGTACTCATTCCGTATCAGCAATAGACAAAAAACACGAGTATTAAATATTGAAACATTTTACAGGGTTAGAACAAAGCCCGCATTAAAGCCGGCTAATAATCTTCGAATCTTAAGTTTTTTAAACCTGCGGTTCGACCCCTTTGTGCCCCTTAAAAATGTAACAAATCCATCCCGTAAGCCACCCCTCGGCGATTTGTGGCTTCTGCCGCCGTTTTTTCGATACAATGGCCTTAATAGCTGGTGAGGGCTCGACATAAGGGCTTTGCGGCCCTCCGGTTTCAACGATGCCCTTCAGACAACAAAATATGTTTAATCGGGCCCTGCTTTGTTGTCTTAACACGACTCGGCCTTGTTTGTTTATTATGATTCGATATCGAAACTGTTATAATATTTGTTAACGGTTTTCAGCCACAAGGGGCTTCTTATGGGTGTCTCTTTCGATTGATGTCTTTATTGGCTACGTGGCAGTTTACTCTTGTGGATCTTTGTTGAAATTGTGCCCTGGCACAGTCCGAAGAAGGAGACTAGGTTTTGAGTAAAGTTGAAGGTGTTCATAGCCCCATTTTGCCAGGAAGTTGAATTACTGAGAGGAAGTTCAGTTTTGTTCAATGCTGCTGCTGTGGTGGTAATCCATTAATTATTAGCTGAATTATATTTGAAACTGCTTTTGGCTGCAGCTGTTGAATCGTGCTTAAATTCTTAAGCCACTTACCGGAAATCAATAAGCACACCATTAGAACAAACTTGAGTTTTTTACAAACTTCTTTTTGGGTATTTCGCCTCAAAAATGTTTGTCTTTAAAAAAAATTTTACATAGATGTAAAAACAATAATATTATTCCAAACGGCTTACGACTTAAATCTCCATATGACATCAATACACAAGTAACAAAAATCTTAAACAGAGCAAGTAAAGCTTTAGTTAGAGAAAGAATTCAATATCACAGATTAAATAAAATCAAACTCAAAAACGAAATACATGACATGAAACAAGACATACGATACAAAATCTCTTTTGACGACTTTAATCATATATGTAATTCGGTTAATAAAACCTATGAAAGAAAATGTGTTATTCAAAAACAAATTCATAACCATAAACTAGAAAAATTACTCAACGAAAAAATAAAAAAAAATATTTTTAGTATAAAAAATAAGCAATTTCTGGACAAAACAATTATAAATTTATCTAATAAATCATTAACTGAAACCGAAAAACTCGTTCTTTCTAAAGGTTTAAATTTTTCAATTACACC